CATGTGGATGCTGGGTCCTCTATAAGAGCAACAAATGTTCTTAACCACAGTATCATCACTCCAGGCCCTGAAACCTGTTTTGTTGTTTGCTTGGTTTTTGAGACGAGGGTCTCACTGTGTAGCCCAGGCTGGCCTTGAATTTGCTGAGGTTCTCCTGTCTCAACTCCCTGACTGGTAGGATTATAGGCTGAAACTTGTTTTGATTACAACCCTTCATGCTTCTTTTTCTTGTTCCCTATGGCCTCCAGTTTCTTTACTGCTCTACATGCAGGCCTGCCTGCTAGGTTATGTTTGCATACCTTCCTCTAGCAAGGTAGAACTTTTAACAGCCTTCCATGAGATGGCACATGGCTAAACATTGAGGGGAAGAATCTAGCCATGGGTTCCCTGCCTTGGATCTAGAGAATCTATTTAGTTCCCTCAAAGACTCTTATTTGTTGGGTTTGTGCCAGTTTTAGTATAGATGGAAATGAAAGTTCATTGAGGGTGATGAGCATGCTTAACACCAATACTCTTCCAATCATTGGGTATTTGAAGGTCCAGAAGGAGCCAACCTGTTCATCTATCACCTGCCCCAGGAGTTTGGAGACCAGGACCTGCTGCAGATGTTTATGCCCTTTGGGAATGTCGTGTCTGCCAAGGTTTTTATAGATAAGCAGACAAGTCTGAGCAAGTGTTTTGGTATGTTGGCTTCTCTTCTGGTATCAGAATGGGGTTGAGCATTTTGCCACTGAGAAAGAGAAGGGGCTGACAGCAGAAAGAGCTGGAACTGAGTTTTGGCTGTTGCTTAAGATGGCCTCAGGCAGATTATCTGGCCTCTTTTTTCTCATCTCTGTAGTGGAGGTGATGTTTCCTGCTCACAGTACTAGTCCAGGAAGAAATAATATGGAAATAGCTTGCAAAAAAGAAAGATAAAAGAAAAGGGTAGTACTTGTAAATGCCAGGCTGTATTGTTGGGAACCTAAGTGGTTTCACATGATATCATTTTAAAAGTTTTGTTCCTGTTGAGAACAATTTGGGACTTGAGACTAAACACATAAAGCATCTCTTGCATAAGGGGGACTGATACGCCTTGCCTTGTTAGGTGCCTTACCTAGGTTTCTGCTTTAATACACAGGTTTTGTAAGTTACGACAATCCTGTCTCAGCTCAAGCTGCCATCCAGTCCATGAATGGCTTTCAGATTGGAATGAAGAGGCTTAAAGTGCAGCTCAAACGTTCGAAGAATGACAGCAAGCCCTACTGAGCGTGCTCCCTCCTGAGACTGGAGTGAGAGGGTCTTCTGGTAAGTGTGGGAGGAGCACCCTTAATGATTCGAAGCCCAAAGGCTGTGTGTTGACAGCCCTGGACCCTGATCCCTGCCACTCTCGCAGGCACAGCTTGCCCTGAAGACTCAGCTACTGCCTTCTGTGGGAGTTTCGCTTCGTACAGAGGACAAGTTTGTGATTTGGTTTCCAGTGTTTTTACTTTGGAGTTTAGGTGCCATATCCTGAGGGGGTTTTTTGTTGTTTTTGTTATTGTTTTTCTTTTTCTCTTTATTTAAAGTTTGTTGCGTTTGTAACCAGTGTGTTGAGAAGGACCAACACCAAACACCCTGGGGAAGGGAGAAAATGGTTGAAAAAGATAATCAGAATTTTCCCCAAACCACCACGTAAGAGGACTGAGTAGAATAAAAGGTTGATCCCCAGAATCAACTTCCATGAGTGCACTGATAGGCAGAATGAGAGCTAAGCCCTGGAGAGCAGTGGGGATGGAGCAGCTGAGGTGGCTTCATGCCCAGAGCCCTGGCAGCTAGATATAGACATTGCTCCATAACATAGCTGCTTTCTGTGGAGATACTGAGCTACCACCTATTTTTTTTTCAGATTTTCATCCTGGATTTCTGCCCTTCTTTCTTAAAGGGGGGGCCAGCAATTCTCAGAAAATAAAGCACCTCTTAAGTTACCCTGAAATATGCGAATAACTAGGAGATAGCCAGTACTAGCTATCCCAACTCACCAGTGCTATTGCATTGCCCTGCCTGGCTGGTGGCTGTTTGGGGGACGCAGCCAAAGAGGTCATTCATTTTTATTGTATTTTAACATGAAATTAGACCATGTCCCATTTCCAACAGCCCCTTTTGGAGAAAGTTTATTGCAGACATTTCCTGGTTGCTTCCTTGTAGTTACCACAACAAGGAATACTGACTACTTCCCAAGCCACAATTTTCTCATCAGGGCAGATCTAAGAAGCTCTTGCAGCATCTATCCAACAGGAACACTATTCATGGGTAGAGTGATCAAAATCTAGTTGGGTGAGGAGGATCCTGCTTCTTGGCATACCTGAATCAAGAGCCCTACAAAGCCAAGATGCCACATTTGCCAGTGGACAGAGCCTAATACTCAAGAAGGTGCAGAAATTCACACCTGCCTCCTTGATTGACCTGTCCCATTGGTTGTATTACCATAGCTGTATGGCAGACCCCTCTTCTAACCACTCCAGCCCCTTCTTCTGCCCCTGGGGACAGAAGAGAGTACAGGACTTTTACAGCCCCCATATGGTTTGAGTGTTCATTTACCTCAGTATTGCTGCGTTCATTTTGTCACTGTGCTTATAGTTTGCTCCCTGCTGCCTCCCACAGGTCTCACTGCAGCCCTTGCCTGTGTCCTACACAGCCCCTGGGCTCTGCTTCTGCTCAAAAAAGCACTCTTGGGCATGTGTACCAGAACAGAGGTAGCACCATTAGCATACAACTATCAGTCACAGCCAGGGCCTGGGTTCCTTGGTCCCTGGAGGCTTAAACCTTAAATTATAAGTCCTGGCCCCTAAAAGCAGAGATCAGAATAAAAGAGTTGCCTTGCTTTTTTTAAAGTCAGGTGGGGGCTCTTTCATTGCCATGTCCCTGTCGGTAATAGACAGGGGTTGACTGTCTTGCTGTTACACAGGTAGTTGTTGGTGTTGGATTATCCCATTGAAGCTGGGACAGCTGTTCTCTTCTCATAGTGATAACTTGGGCCTGTTGTCCTCTTAAGGAACGTGAAACATACTTCTTAAGCTGAACTACGTAAACTTGAATTCTGCACACTGGGAGAAATGTGTCCTGTATTTCAAGATAAAACTGTTCTAAAGGTTTCCAGGGTCATGATGGGATTTTTTTAAATAAATGCAAAAAATAAAAAGAAAAAGAAAAAAAAAAAAAAAAAGAAAAAAAAAGCTGCCTGGATTCTTGTCAGGTTGATTAGAGCAAATTTCTGATTTAAATTTTAAGAGGTCTCCTGATGACAGATGACCCACTGATTGCTTCCACTCCCTAGAGCATATCACAGCACACCTCCCTCCCCCAACTTCTGGAAGCAGTCACTGGCCCCGCCCCATTTTCCACTTGGAGAAGAGTTACTTTGGAAACAAACTCTCCACTGCAATAGAGGTCTTCTGACTTCCCAGAATAAAACTTAATGCAAGGCAGTCATTTTAAATTGATTTTTCTAATGCTTTGTTGAGTGCTCAATTTATGTTACTGTTAGGACTTGTCATTCTAAACGGAAAATCTAAATCGCCAGCCTTCTACATGTTCCTTCCTGCATGTTTCAACCAAACTGTTTATCTTTCTCAGTCTCAATTTTCCTCACCTATGCATGAGAAAATAAATCCCAATCTTATGGGACTGTATTTGAGAACCCACTCTATGGAGAGCGGCACTACAGCTAGAAGAGGAGAGAAGGGCTGCAACACCCCTTCCTGCAGCTCCCAAAGGTGGGCTCTTGGCTGATGAGATCGCCTACTCTGCTAGAGAGCAGGAGGTATGAATTCTGGAGTCAGGTAGGGGGTTGGGCCCTAAATCTCTTGGGGTGAGGTATACCCCTCAGGAAAGAGTGCCTCTTGGAGGGTTGAGAGGTTCCTCTGTGAGCCTGTCATGGACAGGAGTGGATCTCAGTCCTTGTGGACTGGCAGGAGTCACAGTGGTAATCATTTAATTCATGATGGCTCTGGGTATGAAAGATGCCAGGCTGCTTGTAGAGACTGACAGCTAGCTGCCTACTTTTCTTCTCTCCTAGCTGCCTGTCCTTAAGGAACGGATGGATGACTCCAAGCCAGCAGAAGGCACAATAAACAGCAGATGCCCCTTGGAATTCCTGAGACATCTTTATCCAGATCTCACAAATAGCTCGACCTAGGGATCTCACAAGGATCCAGGTTGATGAAGGCATTAAGGGTCCTGACAGGAATGTGAGGTAACCTCTGGGCTGTAGCGTACATATTGCCAACAAGGATCCCACCTCAGCAACTCTACAAGAGCTCTATATTTTATGTCCTATCTTTATCTACAAATTCAAAAGCCCGGGAAGAAAAGGTTCTTTTTGTTGTTGTTAAGTTTCATGGAAACTAGCCAGGTGTGGTGGCACATGCCTTTAATTCCAGCACTTGGGAGGCAGAGGCAGGCAGGTCCCTGTGAGTTTGAGGCCAGCCTGGTCTACATAGTGAGTTCCAGGACAGCTGGGCTACAGGGAGGAGATTCTGTCTCAAAAAAGACAGAAAAAAAAGTTTAATGGAAACTCATGTGATAGCAAAAGCTCATCTGAACTCCTGGGAATTATAAAGACTACATATATTTACAGTGTTAGTAAGCAGAACTTTGCTGGATAAATACTAATGTGTTTGTGGGTACTGTCTCAAATAGTACTGGAATGTAGCATATATCAGATTCATTTCTTAAATAGAGTTAGAAATATGAATTCTGAGAAAAAATAATCTGTCTCCAACAGTTTTGAGTAAGGGCTTATAAACTGTACCCAACATTAATGTGACAATTTACTATATCTCTAAACTTGATAACTTAGAGCTATGGTTTAAATCCATTCCCAGCCATTTAGCTACCACAAATGAAAAGATTAACAAAGTGATTGCCCTTTTCCCATTCGTCTGGACTTTTCATTGTGTTCAGCATTACACGTTGGTTCAGGGTGATTTTAGGAGACGGCAGCAAGTTACGAGTTGTCTACTTCAACCTCAGCAAGTGTACTAAGGACTTGGAGAAGGCCTGTGGCCACTCCCTCAGGTCAGTACCTCTCTGGGGAGTCATACAACATGTAGCCTCCTCCCATGAAGGGAGAGCAATCTCGCTGCACCAGTGCTTCAGTCCAGTGATGGATGGATGAACACCGAACAATGACTGTGGCACATAGTGATGCCACGTCTGCCTCAGTCCTGGTAAGAGATGAGACTGTGATCCTCCATAGCACTGAGATCACCCAGAGACATGGTTCTCTGAACACACGCCGCCCTTAGGTGAAGAGGCTACCTGCTCCTTCTGTCTCTGTCTCTGAGCTCCCTTGTTCTGGGGGAGCAAGGCCACTTGGGAGTAGACAGCAAGGCCCATCCTAGAAGGAATAGAGGCCTCTAACCAAGTTAGTATGGAGGAGCAGTCTCCCATAACCACAGGATTGAGCTTAGGGTGGATTTTCCAGTCATAGGGGAGCTTTGAGTTGACTATACCCTCATGACAGATGCTAGGCCCAAAGCACAGTGACCCTCAGAAACTATGTGAGATAACAAATGCAGGCCAGGCTTTGGTTTCTCTCTAGTTTTCCTTCTTCTTTTTCGTTCCTAAGATAGGGTCTTATTATGTGGCCCACATTGGACAACAAATAGTTTCTTGCTTCATCCTTTCAAATGCTGGGGTCACAGGTATGCGCCACCAGCCCCAGCTTATTTGCTATTTTATATGTCTAAGTTGTGGGATAATTGTTATGCAGTGAGTGATAATAATATAGAACAATTCATTTTTACATTAACTGAACCTAATGATACCTGGAAACAAAGCAGGCATAGGAATCAATGTCTGATGACTGAGCGACAACAAATGCACCAGAATAATCCAAGAATACAAGGTATAAATTTTCTGACTGAAAGACGTTCAAATATGAAATATGATTCAGTAGAACTGTTTCTCTCAGAAATCAGTGATTTGGGAGTGAAGAAAGGTTTTACTAAAGTCCCAGATGCCCGATGTGTAGAGTAGACGCTCCAAGTTAATGCCTCAACTTTGAGGAAGTTACAGGAAAGTAACCCTTGGATCAACCCAGAAGTTACAGGATCATTTCATAGTCCATAACCCCACTGCTTACATACAGGAACAACCACAGTATGCAGAGAACTCTGTAAGAGGTATAAACTCCCTACACTAAGGGCAAGCGGCTCGAGCATCACTATATGCTTTTCATTAGATTGACAACATCTTCCTTAGGTGGCATGGGCCCCCATCAGCCCCCTACCAGGAAGCTGTCCCTGGGCAGTAGCTGAACTGTGCCATGGAGCAGGTTTTTCTTTGTGGTTTTGCCTCTCTAACTCTACTTTTACCCTGTACCATGACCATGTGGCAAAGCACCTTCCCACTTACGTGCAGACAGGCCACTGCTGGCACTCATGGAGCGGCCTGGCTCAGGGCGGGACTTGGTGATGGAGGGAATACTGACGGAGCCGCTGAATACTGTCCGACTTTCCTGAGGCCGTGGGTTCTAAAAACACAAAAGGAAGGTATGTTCTTCACTCAGAAAGGCAGGTTTTGTGTAGAGATGTTTACTATACACTATAATCCTCAAGAAATGAAGCAATCTTGATCAGAGTGACACAGAGCAAGGAGCAGCAGGTTCCCAGTCCTCACGCACAGAGTTAGTGAAACCCAGCATGAAATAAACCCATCTCAGCCAAGGAGCACTTATTGAGAAATATTTTTTTGGTTGTAAAAATGCTGTTATATGGTTAGGGAAGAGTGAAGAGCAGAATTACATGGACATGTGCAGAAAATTGAGGTGGCTTTGACTACATGTGAGATTGTTTACCTAAGATAACTGAGTAAATCCATCTGGAGGAAAGTCAATTAAAATTATATTCTTGTCAAAAATGCCTTATTGGCAGCAGGTGTCATTCACATGTTCTGGCCCCAATCCCCTGCTTGTTATTGGCTCCCACACACAGTCATACTGTGTGTCAGAAACCCTGTGCTGCAGCACAGCCTAGTGACACTTGTAACCAGAGAATACAGTCTGGAAACTTTCCTGCTCACCCAAAAGCTTTCAGACTAGGAGGATAAGATGTCGGGGCTGACAAGAGTCTAGGGAAAGGAAAGACATTTTAATATGTCTTCTAAATCTGGAATCAGAAAAAGCACATAGGCCATACTGCAACCTCTCTGACCATCCACAACACTCTCTCCATGTGTGGACATAGACCCAACTTCCTGCAAACATTTTCTGAGGCAGAGGCAAAGGGTCTAGAGTGCTGTGACTTCAGTTCATTAGCATTCCTGCATGGTCACAGTGAAAACAATGGTGAGGGTACTGGCCCACAGCATCATGCTGCTTCTCTGGCTGCTCAGGAGAAGGGAAGACAGAGGTGGCTGGAGCACAGGTCAGGGAGTGAAACAGCACACGCATGCCTCCATCTTTGTTTAAAAGAGCTGACCATGCTATATGGTATTTTTTTCTCAAATGCCATTGAACACAAATGAACCAGTATATTTTAAAATGTTACAGTTGAAGCCGGGTGTGGTGGTGCATGCCTTTAATCCTAGCACTTGGAAGACAGTGGCAGGTGGAGCTCTGTGAGTTCGAGGCCAGCCATTCTATATAGCGAGTTCCTGGGACTACAGGGAGACCCTGTCTCAAAAAGACAAAAAAAAAAAAAATCATTTTACAGGTTCAAAACCAGCAACTCTAACCACAGGGGCTCAGGAAATATTACCCTTCATTCTGGCAGTTTAAGAGAATCAACCAGAGAAATTTATCCAGACACCTGGCTCACCCTGACATTCACTCTGCTTGTGGCATGACTCAGGTTTGTTTAGGACTTAGGTTAGTAAATGTCAGTAGAATCAATCATCCTTCAATGCTTTATTAAGGTTCAGCAAGAGAAAAGGCCTAACTACTTAAAAGCCTTCATTCCTCCTTCCCCCATAGCTCAGGCTAGGCTACGTGGCCAAGAACAACTTTGAACTGCTGAACCTCCCAGACATTTTTAATTAATTAATTAATTAAAATTTTTGGTATAGGGACTGAACGTAGGATCTTACATGTGCCAGACAAGTGCTCTAGCCCTGAGCTGCATCCCCAAGTATTAAAGGCTACATTTTAGATATTTCACTGATTGGCCTCCTATCTGCCCTTTAAACACAGAAAACCAGGAGAACTCTATGGAAGGCAGTCCCTCCATCCCCCCTGTGGAGACCCTGGCCCATCAGGTGTGATGGTCCAGACTGCTCTGTGCGCTTAGGAAGCATACAGTTCAGAATTGCTTCTAGCATCTGTTCCTTGACTACTCTGGCTTGGCTTTGTGCTCTCTCTCTCTCCCCGCCCCCTTCTTTCTATTTTATGTGTGTGAGTGTTATGCCTGCATGTGTGTAAGTGTACCTGTGTCATGCAGAGCCTGAGGAGGACAGGAGAGGGTGTTGGATCTCTTGGAGCTGGAGTTACAGATGGCTGTTAGCCACCATGTGGGTGCTGGGATTCAAACTCGGGTTCTCTGCAGGAGCAGCCAGTGCTCTTAACTGCTGAGCCGTCTCTCCAGGCCCTACTATGGCATTTCTTACATGAACTGCAATTATAAAGTAGTTAAGATACTGAAAACTGTACCCTGAATAAATGAATGGATTGCAATTTTCTACTTCAGGCACTGGGATTAACTCAGCTAGTAACTAATTCATGAGTTTCAGATGATGATCCTCTCCACAGAGGACACTGTGCTCCGGTTCATACTGGTTTGATGGGACTGTGTATGTAGGTGTAGGTGTGGCTGTATGTGAACTGTAAAGACACAAAATTCATTTTATTCATATTATTTGGGAAGGGAAACATTTTCTGAGGATCAATGGCTAAAATGGTAGCAATTCTTATAATTATTTTTAAAATTTAATTCTATTTATTATGTGTGTACGAGGGTGAATGTATGGTGGTCAGAGGATGACTCGGGGTTGGTTCTCTCCTTCCACTGTGGATTTTAGGGATTGAACTCTGGTTGTCAGGCTTGCATAGCAAGTGCTTTTACCTACTGAGCCATCTTGCTGTCCCCAGATTCTTTTTTTCTTTTGGTTTTTTGAGACAGGGTCATCCTGTAGTCCCAGTTGGCCTGGAACTCGCTAAGTAGACCAGGCTGGCCTCAATCTCACAGAGATCCACCTGCTTCTAACTCCCAAGTGTTAGGAATAAAGATGTGTACTAGCATGCCCAGCTAAAATTCTTATAAACATGATCCATATGCCAACACTTAGTAAAAGATGTTTTTGCTACAGTATGGTATAGATCAAGTACTTTAAAACATATGAAATGAGGCAGAAATATTTAAGAAAGAAGCAGTAAAAAAGTAGTAGAATGGCCCCAAGGAGGGGTGATGGCTCTGGATATGTCTGCAGCACTGGGCTTTCCCACACACCCGCAACAAGAGAAAGTCATAGCAAACAACCCGAGCAGTGCCAAAGCAGGCATTTGGGAGGCACTCATGCCAAAGGCCTGCCAGCCAGTTTACTCCTAATTCAATCACTGCTATTTTGGTTCCTATACTGGATTTACAAAGTCCATGTAATTCTGTGTGTCATTTGTTTAAAGCAAATGCTTTACCTTACTAAAATAAAAAAGTTAAAACCAAGACAGTCCATAGCAGCAGTTTAACATTTGTGCACATGGCAAGAGCCACGTGAGAACAGCAAGAAGCACCACAGCAGAGGGCTTGGGGGTGGGGGAAGGTGCAGAGGGCTCAGGGGGCACAGCTGCCAGAGGAGGCTGCAGTGCAAAGCTAGGCTATCCTTTTCTGTAAGATAAGCCCACCCTAGAATAAGTGGTAGCAATTAAGCTCACAAAATATTCCATTTAGGAACACTGAAAACTGAATAAAGGAATAACAGGAAAAGTTTTCTATAAAACCTTATCTTTTAGTCAGCTGAAATTATAGAAATGTCATTAGAAAGTAACAAGAAATCCAAACTTTTGGACTATCTAGCCACAAACAAGCTTTTGAGCTGGGCACACTTCCACTGATGGATCAGATGGTCAATTTAAGCAGCTTCCTTCTCATGGAAGGTCCTGAGTGACTGACATGGTACTCCTCAAAATCCACACCCTGCCACACGCTGCCAAGCAAACTAAGGCTGATTTAACAGGGTGAGTTTTGTCAAGTAAGGCATTGAGATGATATTTTAATATCAATTACATTTAAAATAATTTTATAATACAAACAAAAAATAAGCTTTTAATCCTACAACAAATTTTATTGGAAAATTACTACATATACAAATTTTAAAAATTGGCTTCACTACTTAACTAAGCTGGGGGTCATGGTGCTTCAGAATGTAGCCTCTCTCTGTCTCGGTCTCTCTGTCTCTCTCCCTATCTCTCGGTGCTTCAGAACACAGCACCTCTTTTTCTCTCTCTTGCTCTCCTTTTCTTTCTTGAATCCTGGTCACAATTAAACACATGTCAACAACTGAAAGATTTGTAAAAATCTATGTTGATTTTGGAATTTCTCCTGTTTTCACTCAGCATCTCACCATGACTTCAGAGACATCTCAGTAATTCAAAATGGGATTTTTAGTAGGTCTGTAGATTGCCTCTACCACAGACCTTAACCTCATCAAACATAAAACATTTCTCTGATCTGAAGTAGTTATAGGATAAGCTACAAAACATTTCAGAACCAGGGGGGTGCCACTTAGGGGCTTTCAAAACAAAACAAAACAAAACAAAAACAAAACAACACAACTCATGGTATCCAGAATGGAAAATACCATAGCTGGAAAACTTTAACAGATAAACCTCTAAAATTGTTTCAGAATTAAGAGAGAAACTTTCCCTCTCCCTCCATCTTTCCCTCAAGAGAAGAAACAAAATAGACTGGGAAGAGGAGGAAGAGGAAGATAAACAGAGGAGGAAGGCAGAGAGTAGGAATGAAGTTGGCAGGAGGGAAGGAGGCCAAAGGGAAACATCCCCAAAGGCGTGACCTCAGCGGTGTTAATGTGCACTGGTGAAAATGTGCAGGGATTAGTCAAGGCTAGCACTGACTCAGCCATTCGTACCCTCAGAGGCACCGAGCGTGGTGTACCAGGGGCAGAGCGCAGGGACGGGGAATACTCAGGGCTTATGCAATCAGGAGAGAGAAACTTTTCAGCAGAATTAACAGTCATGTGATAGATGTGCTCAAAGTTGCTCGGAGAGGAGATCAGGCTGGAGCAGTGATGAGGGGATGGATAAGGGAAACCTGGCTATCAAAAACAGGAAGAAGAAAGGTGTAACGTGATGCAATGGATTCAGAAGTTCTGTGACACTCAGACAACACACGCACACAGAGCAACAAAGCAGTATTTTATGTCAGAACTGAGTCCTAGTGAAATACTTTCAGGCCTTAGAAAGTTACATGTTGTAATCTTCTTTCCAGTTACTCAAATTAGCAGGTTTTCAAAAGATCACGTAGCTTATGAAAATTGTACTTTTTTTTTTTTTTTAAACTATGGTTAAATGAGTAGAAGCAAGACTTCTGGAGATACATGAAGACTTTCAGAGTTTAATTCAGGATTTTCTTATGTGATACAATAACTTACAGCAAAAACAAAAACAAAAAAACAACAACTTTACCCAAAACATTAAGCACAGAAAACGCAAGAGAGCCTATAACAGCCTCTAGCCAGAAACGATTCAAAGCTACTTTCTCTGGACTCTAGACTCACTTTTCGGTAGTTTATAACTGTGACATGCTCTAGTTTCTATTCATCTTAATTGTGAGAGCTGTGGGCAACCTAATTCCTGGTTTACCTTTTAACAGCTGAACTCATCTTCATTTAGACACCCAAAAGAACAAGTCTGTTTTCAACAAAAGAAAAAAATCTTCCTTTCGGTGTTAAAGTACATTTTTCAGAAGGTAAATAATAAGATATAGAAAAAAAGTCTTTGAAGAGATTGACTCCTATTTTCAGATGAAATATTTATTTATGAATGTGTACTTGGGAAGTGCCACTCTCAGTGGCTGACCACTGTCTATAGTGGGGATCCTCAAAGTTCAGTTCTTGAGGGTGTTTCCAGAATAGCATCCCTTCATTAGAGGCAAATTGAATCATGTGCTAGGGAGAATGCTGACTGAATCCAGGTTGATTCATTCAGACAAGATGAGCCTGCTCTGTTAAAAAACAAACAAACAAATAAACAAACAAACAAACAAAAGCAAACCCCTGAGGAATTACCTAGGCCAAAAAGAAAGGCTGCTGTAGGATATTCTACTTTTAGAGATATAAATAAGATCAGTACTTCTTAAGGTTATTTCCAAAAAGAAAAATATGTTAAGTTCGACTTTAAGAAGCAATTACCTTTTTAGAGGGGAGGGTTACTATGAGTGCCATGGATGGAACCCAGGGCCTTGCACATACAAATAAATAGATAAACACTTTATCACTGAGCTACATCCCCAGTTCAAGAAGCAATACTACTTCCTAAAGGTCATTGAATTAGATATTTTGTCCTTGTTAACAACTTTAGGAATAGGTAAAATGTACTCTGTTGGGTAGGAATATAATGGTAAAATAGTACTCTTGCATTGAGTTAAAGAAAAATCTTTCCTTTGTATTCAGCAACCACTTACATAAAAACAGGTCAATGATAAAGAAGATTCAAGAAAAGAAATTCAATGTGTCTTCTAAGACATACCCTACCTTATATCAATTGCTTATGGACTCTTGACTCACTAAGAAATAGAAGAAACGTTCAGATATACAAGATAAGAAATGTCTCCAAAAAATTGACAAGAAAAATACATTTTTTTTTAGAAATTTTTAAAACCTTTCTAAGTTCATAAGTATTTCACAGGAATCCAATATTGATTTGAATATGATGAAACATAAAAATCTCTGGGGCTCATGTTCTTTCCACAGATGGCAGTACATAGCTTCATAGCTTTGGGACTTGAAAGCTCTTAGATATGTTAACATGTGAATTTAATTCATCTTTTTTGGGGGAAGTAATTCATGCCATTTGAGTATAAAGAACACACTGAAATCTGAGACTGTATTAAAATACAAGCTTCTCATTACATGTGTACATTTGTAGAGACATGCATAGTGCTATTTTCAGACATAACACGTTGGTAAATTGTTTACCAGTGCCTCCTCTCAGATAAGCATCGTCAAAATTGCTCAAAAGTGTTTGTTAGGTTATTAAATGGATGGTTCTAAAGAGCCTGGGCCATAGGTTTTTTGGCAGTCAAATGAGGAAGGTCATGCAGAAAGAACAGGAATTTGGCTGCATGGAGTCTTAGATACATGCTACAGTGGAGATAAAGAAATGGGCTTCAAAATTTGTAACAGCTTCCTGTCCTGGAAATACAACATGCTTATCTTACATGCTAAGAAAGCATTAAAGGAATGGAAAGCACATTAAAAACTGGTAGGGAAAAAGTGACTAGTATTAATCCTGAAAACAAAAACCCAACAAGGTGGTCATGGGGTTAACAAAATCTGATGACAACAAACACCCCACACTAAGAGATCTAATTTGAATCAGTAGCGGGCACAGATGGTCATGTGTGTGGAGTCAGTTCAGGTATGAATGGAATGCCATCTGAACTTATTTGCTTAATAGCAAAAATCTTGTAAACAAACAAAAAAATGAAAATTTTGGCTGGTCAGGGTGGTGCACGCCTGGTGCACTTAGGAGGCTGAGGCAGGAAGATTGCTATAAGTTGGAGGCCAGCCAAGGCTACACAGTGAGTTCAAGGCCAGCCAGCCAGCCAGGGCTACATATCAAGACTGTCTCCAAACAATCAATCTCCTAATCTCTATTACTTTAAGTGGTGCAAGAGTGAAGGGGGAAAGAAGTAAAGCCGAGGGCCCTTTAACATAAAAGTTAAAAGTTTTCCTATGTTGTACTTCTCTTTTGTGTAACTGACCAGGCAATGTGTTTGCCACTGGGCAAAGGAACAAGATTTAATGTCCCAGTTATCTGAGAGGTGTGATGATTAATGACCAAGCTAGTGTAGACTTCTGGAGAGAAAAAAGGCCAAGTATCTGTACCGTACCAAGTGACATCTTAGAGACTGGGGAACCTTGTCAGGGCTTGTTACAGAATCTGCTCAATTAGGGCAGTTTATTCCACTAGTAACAGCAAATTTAAGTATGGGAAATGTTTCTAGGGTAGGGACAATGTAAGAACTTTTGTTTCACTTTGACAGTGTCTAAATTTCATTTCAAGTATGCCACCATGCATCTTAGACATGCTGTGACACACTGAAACATTTTCATTATCTTGTTATATAGTAAATTCTGTGACATCTACACATGGATTTAAACTTATGTACACAACTTTTCCCCCCATGCACCTGCCACTGACTCCTCACTCGTTCCTTTCCACACCACTCTGTGTTCCTCTTACCATGGGAAGGTCTCTTAGGATCTGTATTCCATCTCCAGGACCCATGTGTGCTATGTGGTTAAAATTAGTTGGGTTAGAAATTAATTTATTTCTCATTTCTGGATCTCGTAGCATCTCCCTGTAAGGTAGAACACCTGTTTAGATAGTTTTTCCACATTTAATCAATATAACCTAAGAAAAAAATTAAGCATACTTTATTTTATAAAAATAAAGATATAATTATAATAAGAATATACTA